GAATGGTGACCTCCCTAGTACCCCTTCACTCAGTTTAAGCAGGAAACAGAAGAGTGTCCTGGAGTTTGCTCTGGAGTCACAAGGTGGCAGTGTGGAGCTGAAAGTGCCTAAACTGTAAACCTGGCCTGGCTTGGGCAGGGATATCCCAGCCTAAGACTCAGGATGGAAGCTCTGGTGGCCTAATGCCTAAGGCATTTGACTGTTACCCAGAAGGCTGGTGAATCACCAGCCACTCCTTGGAAGGAAGATTGGGTGATCTACTTCTGAAGTGATACCACCTCTGAAACCCAAGGAGGGGTCACTATGAGTCGAATCCAACTCGAAGACAGTGAGATTGCTTTTTTTTTTTTTTTTTTTTAAAGACTCACGATGGGGCTCTTTCTCCAGCCAAATATAACTGATCTCTAGGCTAACACCCTCACCTCACCTTAACCTCTCCTGGAGGGTCTGAAGCAGTTATGACCCACAAGGGCAGGCTGGGCAACTTACCTACCCTCTCATATCTAACTTTCTCCTGGCTGGCACAAATGGTTAAGTGCTGGGCTGCTAACCAAAAGGTTGGAGGTTCAAACCCACCCAGAAGCACCTCGGAAGAAAAACCTGGTGGTCCACTTCCAAAAGGTCACAGCCATGAAAACCCGATGGAATCCAGTTCTACCCTGACATACTTCGAGTCATCATGAGTCATAGGTGACTTGACAGCAACTGGTTTTTAACTTTCTCCTGAGGTTCTAAAGAGTCTTAGATCTTCATTTGACCCAGTTCTCCTGAGATACCTGGACACTCACGTCTTACTCTTGAAGCCCACAGGGGATGTATTTTGGAACAGCAAAAAAGAAGAGGTTTCAATTGCAGGGTGAGAGACTCAGTGTAGAAATTCCTGCATGAGGCACATGGATGAGTGTTTATGGGAGCTAGTAGAATCACCTTTTTTTGAGGGCTTTCCCAAAACCGGGTGAGCTGGGGTTACTTTAATGTGTTCTGGTTTAGAGGCTAGAACATGGGTTAAAGGGCTTCTGGAGAGCCTTTTTGAGCCCAGCAGTCTGTCCTGATCTCAGAAATAACAACCCCACTGGTACTGAGCATAAAATACCTCTCTCACCCTAGTGAGTCTAGTTGGTCAATTAGACAGTGTCCCTTATGGAATTTGTTGCAGTTCAATGGTGAGCATTGGAGGCTTGCTCCTTTAGAATAAGAATTCATTGAAGACACTCACAGATACTCGGGCCTACTGGATAGCCTCAGTTCATTGTTTATATGTTATGTAAACAACACATAAGATGCCAGTCACATATAATATGGAGGAATATGACTTCACTGAACTGGAAACTGTACTCCTCATAGGGTGATTACTCGTACAGGCAACTATTTGTACAGATTTTAGCATCTGACCCTCTAAGCTCACAGAAGTATCTCAAATAAAAGGCCATTATATTTATTTCTAACAACATGACTTACAATAACTTTGAAGATTAGTTAAAATTTTAGCAGGCTCCAGTTATCAGTTTATTGGCCCGTATTTCTCCGGAGGTAAAACCAGCCCTTCTGCCCACTTATCAGGACATCTGAGAAGTCATCTGCTGTCAAACATCTTTAAGTCACTTGGCAGCATCACATTTTTACTCTGTCCTTAAACAGCCTTCTCCAAGAACACTTTCTCCTTACAAGCAACCAGGATGGTGCTAATAAAAAATGTTAACCTCAGCAGTATATTTATTTGAAAGATTGTTGTTGTTGTTGTTATGTGCTATCGAGTTGGACCCGACTCAGAGCAACCCCTCCTTGGGTTTCTGAGGCAGTATCACTACAGAAGTAGATTGCTCAACCTTCCTTCCGAGGAGTGGCTGGTGGGTTTGAACTGCTAGCCTTCTGGTTAGCAGTCAAGCGCATTAGACACTACGCTACTAGAGCTCCTTATTTGAAAGATGAGTCTGCCGTAAAATGTCATACCTTTGAAGCCAAATGTAGCAGTGTTCTTATTGACCTCAGTCAGATGGTTTGTGGCATCCAACAGTAGCGATCTCAGCTCTCTCTGATAACAGCTCCCAACTTCCGAGTATCACCACTCACCTTGATCCAGCACAGACATTTCCCCCTACACTTTCAGGCCAGTGCCTCCAGCACTGAGTGAAAACTGGCACCAGGTCAAGCCACTTCCATTTCCTTCTGCCTCTTCTCCCACTGGTGGATTTTTTCCACCTTTCTTTCTACATTGTCATTAAGAATCATCTCTCTTTGGAATGTTTTCTCTGATTAACTCCACCAGAGCCTAGCATTCTTTCACCCAGATCTGCCCATCACTGATGGGTTCTGGTCTCTTTGCTCTGTATAAATGTGGCTTTGTCAAATGTTGCTTTTAATACATCCTTCAGCTCTTTTCTGTCCCCAGAACTATGTTGTACATACCTTGACCCCACCAACCCCCAGTGATCAAGTCTTTTTTTATATATGCTTGTCCCCTTCAACTTGAAGAATGTAATCAACATCACTACATTGTACATGTAGTATAATTGTCTTGGTGTATGTTTTGTTGTGTGTATTTTCAACAACCACCACGAAAGATTCTTTATACCTCTTCCCCTAGGGCCCAGCTCATAATCCTGCAGAGAGCAGGTGCTCTGTTAGGGTCATTGACCCCTGAATGGTCCCCTCCCCTGGTGTGAGAGCAGTCTCAGCAGTGTCTCTGTGCAGTCACTCTAGGGTACAGCTCATTCTTGATTTTTTTTTTTTTTTTTTTTTTCCTTTTTGAAAGAGATCAATGAAAAGTAAACTTTCACTTCTGAATGCAAGCACTGTGGTTTTTTTTTTTTTTTTTATTACTCCTCATTCTGCCTCTGTAATCAATAACATCTCTTTTCTTCATTAAAAACCAATTGCTAAGGAAAGCAACAGCAAACCAGAAACCAGTTACTGTCAAGTCAGCTCTGATTCATAGTGACCCCACATGTGACAGAGTAGAACTGTGCTCCCCAGGGTTCTCAGAGGCTGAGTTTTTGGGAAGTAGGTTACCAGGCTTTTCTCTTAAGTAGGTTACCAGAGGCATCTTGGGGTGGATTCAGACCACCCATCTTTTGGTTGGTAACCAAGTGCTCAACCATTTGTACCACCCAGGGACTCCGGAGGAACAAAAATGACAGCTAAAAGGTGAAGGGAAATGCAGATCTGCAAAATTTTCCATCCCCAGAAATCCAAACCAGAACCATTACTTCAATTCATGTTGGGGAAGGGAAAAAAACACAGGAAGATGAAAGCTCTCAGCACCAGGGGGAGGCAGGTCTTTCATAGCCAGTAGAGGGAGCACTATTAATACATGGTTAAGAGCATTCCTAATACTTCAATTTTCGTGGGTTTATTTGTTCAGCCATTGTGAACAATATTTTTTTCACTTTGTGTCTTGATTAGATGTTGGAAAAATATTTGTTTATTTATCTAGTCACCATTACCATACTCTATCATTTTAAAACATTTTAAGCTAATTTCCCTAGGTTTTCTAGGGATAGGATTATATTCATAAACAATGACAAATTTTATCCTCCGTTCAAATGTTGCTGTTGTTCTTAGTTGTTGTCCAGTTGATTCTGATTTATGGTGACCCCACGTAACAGAGTAGAAGTGCCCCATAGACTTTCCTTGGCTGTGGCTGTTATGAAAGCGGATTGTCAGGCCTTTCCTTCCACAACACCACTGGGTAGGTTCAAATCACCAACCTTTCGGTTAGCCAAACTCAAACCAAACCCACTGCCGTTGAGTGGATTCCGACTCATAGCAACTCCCACTGGGTTTCCAAGAAGTAAATCTTTATAGAAGCAGACTGCCTCATCTTTCTTTCAGAGTGTGGCTGGTGGGTTCAAACCACTGACCATTTGGTTAGTAGCCAAATGCCTTAACCACTGTACCACCAGAGCTCCTTTTTAGGTTCGCAGTTGAGTGCAAATTGCGTCACCCAGGGACCTTTCCAATAGTTATAACTCTTGTTTTTGTTATTTTATTGCACTGATCAAAACTTCTGGAACAATGTTAGATAATAAAGGAAATGGCAGATTTGTGGACATTCTTACTCTGCTCCTGGTTTTTAATTGGACTTGTCTAAGGCCTTATGTTGAGAGCTCTGGTGGCATAGTGCCTAAGGCATTTGACTGATAACCAGAAGGCTGGTGATTCAAACCCACCTGCCACTCCTTGGAATGAAGACTGGGCAATCTACTTCCATAGAGATACCGCCTCAGAAACCTAAGGAGGGGTGTCTATGAGTTGAAATTGACTCGACGGTAGTGAGTGAGTGAGAGGGCCTTACAATAAAATATCACACTATCTGATAATTTGAGGTAGCAATTCTTAACCAAGTTAAGAAAATATTCTTCCATTCCTAATTGCTTAAAATATAATAATGAGTGTTGAATTTTATTGGAATGAATTTTAGAAGATTTTTCTTGGGATAATGGATTGTGATAACATTATTTTACAAGAACTCTTATTTGTCATCTTTTGCTTGTAAGAAACAGCAAATTCAAGGGTTGATTGATGGTGAGCTCTCTAAATGGACTGTTTAAAGTTCTGAGGGTGGACCAGGATTACTCAGCAAGATACAGTACTGAAGAAAGAGACAACAAACAGGATTAGGCAAGAGCAAAAGAGGAACAACAGGTTGCCATTTTATTGAAAACTTTTAAGGAAGTTGTTTGTTGTCAATAATAAAACGGTTCAAAGAGAAGTCATTTAACTATAAAAAGTTTGCCAAGCAGAACTCTACTCCAACTTTTCCTGCTGATTAACTTTGTTTTTTTCTTTTAACTTTTTATAGGGAGGGACTTTACTTTCTCTACTAAAGTGCTTCAGTATTTTCATTACCTGGAAGTTCTTTCTAACATTTGATCCAAATCCTTCTTGCTAGAGTATAGGCCTATTTCCCCCTATGCCTTGTTGAAATAAATTGGAACCCTCCCCTATAAAATAAGTGCAAACATTCCTAGAGAACTGGACCCTATTTGAAAATCTAGAATTCACACCGCCACTTGAGTGTATTCCACGGGTTCAGAGGAAGCATGGTTCACAAAAGTCCAGATATTGGTCTTGTGGCTTTTTGGATTGATGTTGACATAATCTGTGGATTCCTTTAAATTCTCATAGTCTTGGGCAGATTCACTTTTCAGACCTCTGGGGCCTGAAAAAACCACTTGTGTGTAATTCACATTCTTGGAAGCCTGGGGAAAAAGCAGAGAAATGAGTCAAGAGCTCTGGCATGTTTGGAGGAGGTGGGACCCCAGGACTGAACTCTCACTCAAACAGGTGCCCCCAAGGCTTGGCAGGAAAGAACCTAAGCTTCAGGTAGCTGGGATCTGGGTCTGAGGGCAGGGCCAGGGCAAAAAGATAGATTGTCAATGACTTTGTGCCACCTGTCTGCAGGGAATGAGTTTAGGGATGACAGGCAGTGGGAAGAGAAGATGCTAAGACTCAATCCAAGTGAAGTCAAGACTCAGAGTGGACTTTGGCCTAGGGTCTGGGGTATGGGGAAAAGAGGAGAGAGGTGTCCCATTAGATCTTTTCAAAACAAATTTTTATTTATTTTGGTATTCTTGAGAATATTCATAGCAAAACATGCACCAATTCAACAATGTCTACACATACAATCCGGTGACATTGATGACATTCTTCAAGTTGTACAACCTTCTCACTCTCCTCTGAGTCATTCCTCCCCCATTAACATGAACTCACTGTCTCCCAAGGGTTCTATCTAATCTTTCAAGTTGCTGTTGTCAATTTGATTGCATATGGTTCTTAAGACAGCATAGTCCTCAGACATTTTTTTACCAGGTAAACTAAACTATTGTTTGGTTTTAAGGAGACTTCAGGGGATATTTTTGACTTAAGACTTAAAGATTATCTCAGGACAACTATTTTTGGGGTTCACCCAGGATTGAGAAAGAAAGTTTCAAGCCCATGAGAATTTGGAATTCTGTTTTGTATTTTGTCTCTTTTGATTAGGATTCTTCTATAGAATCTTTGATCAAAATGTTCAGTAACGGTGCCTGGGAACCATCCAGTTCCTCTGGTCTCATGACAAAGGAGGCAGTTGTTCATGGAGGCAATTAGCCACACATTCCATTTTCTCCTCCTATGCCTGACTCTCCTTCTTCCTCTGTTGCTCCAGGCAAATAGAGATGAATTGTAATTTGGGTGGCTGCTTGCAAGCATTTAAGATGCCAGGCACTATGTTATGAACTAGGAAGTAGAACAGAAGCACTAAGCATGTTATTAGGCCAATTAATTAAGGATGTGTCATGAAACCATGACCCTAAACCTCCAAACCAAGGAACCAAATCCCGTGAGATGTTTGGTTGTACATAAGCATCATTAGCACTTTCATTAAATTTTATAGCCCACTCAGACTCACTTTGTTTGCATGGTCTATGACTTGGGATGTGGACCTGACCACCTTCACCTAAGAATGCTGTAATGACTCACAAAGCCCCTCCTTCCTTGACCCATGTCCTTAACTGGGATGGCCTGAGTTTTCAGGTTTTACGGCAGGAACCCCACAGAGCTTTCCCCCAGAAGGCATATGGAGGGCCTGTTACCTGGCAGGTAGAAGGTGAGCTGTCCGAGCTGTCCGAGCTGTCCGAGCTATCTGATGATGTGTCGCTGTCCTCTAGGGAGAAATGGAAACTGTTCCTCTTTCAGAGAAAGCCAGAAGGTTTTAAGAGAGGATAGGCAATGGGAAGGAGAAGGAGACAGAAACAGAGGCAGAGCCAACAATGCAAAGAGGAGTGGGGAAGAGAGATACAGAGCTGCCAACAGAGAAAGAAGGAGAAACAGAATAGAGAAAGGGTGATGATGGGAGAGAGAGCCTCCAAAAACAGCCAGAGAAGAGAGAGCCTCTTTAACAAATGGTGCTAGCAAAACTGGATATCCACTTGCAGAAAAATGAAACAAGACCTGTACCTAAACCCATACACAAAAACAAACTCAAATTGGATCAAAGACTTAAATGTAAAATCCAAAACTATAAAATTCACCAAAGATAAAATAGGGGAAATCTAGGAGCCCTGGTTTATGACAAAAATACACTATCAAACACAACACAGAATACACAGGAGGTAGAAAAAAATTAAATCCTTATGTGCATCAAAAGACTTCAATAAAAGGGTAAAAAGAGAACCTACTGATTGGGAGAAAATAATTGCCTATGATTTGGCGGCACATAACAACAACAACAACATGACATAATATTATGGCCCTGAAATACATTCGGCGCCTGGAATAAAACTCACCCCCAGGGGCGGGTTCTCAGCCCAATAATTAACAAGATGTACAAGCAAACCACTCAACCCAGGATGCCACACCCACACACGCAATGGTAATACATCCCTTAGAGCAATAGACCATGGGACACCAAAGGACCAACATTCAAACTGAGGAAATGCAGGACAAACAAGAGTGCATAATTATGAGGGGCACAGGGGAAGGGTTGCAGGGTAAGAAGCGGAAGAGACTGGGTTAAGGTTGGACATGGGAAATGGGGAATGAAACTAAATGTACGCGTGACGTTGAATGTAAAACAAGCTCTTAAAATAAAAATTAAAATTATAAAAGGGCTTATCTCCAAAATCTATAGAAAATGTCAACACCTCAACACCAAAAAGACAAACAGCCCAATTGAAAAATAGGCAAGAGACTTGAACAGACACTTCACTAAAGATGATATGCTGGTGGCCCACAAACATATGAGGAATTGCTCGAGATCTTTAATCATTAGAGTGATGCAAATCAAAACAATGATGAGATATCATCTCACCCCAGCAATAATAGCAAAGTTCAACAGGACAAAAATAACGAATGCTGGTGAGGTTGTGGAGAGATTAGAACTCTTGTGCACCGCTGGTGGGCTTGTAAAATGGTACAACCATTGTGGCAAATGGTATGGCGTTTCCTTAAAAAATTGAAAATAGAAATACCTTTTGACCCAGCAACTGTACTACTAGGAATATATTCTAAAGAGGTGAGAGGCAGCGCACGAACAGACATATGCACATCCATGTTCATCACAGCACATTATAGCAAAGAGATGGAAACAACCTAAATGCCCATCAACAGATGAATGGATAACCAAATTATGGTACATTCACACAATGGAATACTATGCTACGTTAAAGAATGATGAAAGATAGATGAATGATCTCACGACATGGAAGTGCCTGGAGGACATTACACTGAGTGAAATCTCAGAAGAACAAATATTGTATGAGCCCATTACTGTAAAAAGACAAGAGTTTGCTTAAGGAAGGAAACTCACTTTGTTTGTCACAGGGGTGGGAAGGGAAGGGGGGATTAATTATGGGCTAGTTGGAGGCCACACACTGATGTGGGTAAGGGAAGGGATGGTATAGAAAGAGTCTGTGACCACCATAATAACATTAGGGAAATAGAGGACACTGAATTGTGCACATACAATATAGATGACAGAGACTAATACCTCTGTATTATCCACAATACTGCGTTACCATTAACACCAAACACCAGGCTACAGATAAACACATAAACATCTGAGAAGATCAGATAAGGGTCAGTGAACAGGGTCATACTCTAGACCAAGGGTAGAGTCAACGGAGACTAATTTTGCACAGATACCAATGATACAAAATACCTGCAATCCTTACAGAAACAACAGAAGACAGACAGAGAGCAATCCTTCACAGACAGCCAGACACTGTGGGGAGAGATTCAACGGATGTACTGACTCAGGACCATAATACTGGGGGACACCAGATTTAATTGACACAATAAAATACATTAAAAATCTTGTTCTACAACTTACACTGGTGAGTAGTGAATGGGGTGTTAAAAGCTTTCAAGTGGCCATCTAAGATGCAGCTAATGGTCTCCTATCATCAGAAGCAAAGAAGAGTACAAAAAATGTGTGTGGGGGGTATTTGGAAGCAATCAGCCCTAGGACATGATGGCCCTCGAGACCAGAAGAACTAGATGGTGCCTGGCTACCAATGCCAACCACTCAGGAAAGGATCAAAACTGGAGATCCTGGATAGAGTGGGAGGAAAAACGTGGAACAAAATCCAAAAACACAATAATGACCAGAATTACTGGTCATATGGAGTCTGGTGGGACCTCTAACACTGTGGTCCTGGGATATACTTTGGGCCTGGAATAAAACTCATTCCCAGGCACTGGCTCTTAGCCCAATAGTAAATAAGATGTACACACAGACCACTCAACCCAGGGTGACGCACTCACATCCTCTATGGAGATGCATCCCTTGGAGCAATCGACCACAGGACACCAGAGGGGCAACATTCGCACAGAGGAAATGCAGAACACACAGGAGTGCATAACTATGAGGGGCACAGGGGTGGAATGGGGTGGTGATTACTAGGCAGGGAGAGTGGGTTAGAGTTGGGGATGGTCATTGGGGAGTGAAATCATATGTACATGAAATGTTGAAACTAAAACAAACTCTGCTCTGTAAACTTGCACCTAAAGCACAAAAAAAAAAAAAAAAAAGTCAGAAACATGCCTATGCACCTAGGTAATTGCTGCCGCTTCTAGCTCCATCTGAAAAAAGACCTACACTTGATGGTGCTTGGGAAGACCCATCTTCCAGAAGGAGGAGTAAGCAATGATGTCCGGAGGCAGTGCCGCACAGTGAAAATGGCTCTGGCTTCAGAGGTGACAGGCTCAGGTTCTAGTTCATGCCTGTCACTAACTCTGTGGGACCTCAAACAGTCACACCCCTTTTGGGCCCAAATTCTCTGGTGGCATAGTGCCTAAGGCATTTGCTTGCTAACCAGAAGGTTGACGAAACCCACCAGCCACTCCGTGGAAGAAGATGGGCAATATACTTCTGTAAAGATTTACAATCTCGGAAATCCAAAGGGGGTTGCTACGAGTCGGAATCTACTCAATGGCAGTGAGTTTGGGTTTTTGGTTTTATGGCCACCCATAAGGAGCTATAGTGGTGCAATGCCTAAGGCATTTGACTGCTAACCAGGAGGTTGGCCGTTCAAACTCACCAGCTATTCCTTGGAAGGAAGATGGGGGCTAAGCCACTTCCGTAGAGATTGACTGCCTCAGAAATCCAAAGGGGGTTGCTATGAGTCAGTATCAACTCGATGGCAGTGAGTTTGGTTTTTATTTTTTTCTTTTTTTGTAAAACAAGTGAGTTGGATGGTTGTTTCTAAGATCCCTGCCAACCAGCTAGTATCTGATTCTGGTCATGCTCTGGCAAAGTTTTGGGCTCAGGGGTCAATGTGAGGCTAGTGCCTCTCCTCTTCTGCTGAAACACTGATTTCAGTTTAGCAGTTAGCAGTTGTTTTCTGGTTCCCACGTGCACTGTGCACTGAAGCCTTATCTCAGGGTCAAGGAAGCCTGACAACCAGATTCCTCCAACTGAAAAGATAAAATTAGAAGAAGGGAACAAACTCAAATCAATCAAGAGATAAACCAATGGAAAAAGTGCTATCTCTGGGGAGAGAGCATTAAAGGGGGAGTGACTTTGCTTCTCATTGCCATCTTTTCAACAGTGATCTGGCCTGTTTTCCCTAGCCCTGAGGTAGAAAATAAGATGAGGGTGGTCCTGTCACCTCTTGTATAGGAGGGACACATAGATTTGGACCATCAACAAGACTCAGTGCTTCTGAAAACACCCAGATACCATGCAGACCTAAGACCATGGAGAAGGGTCCTTCAGGAGATTCTGGCTGAGCTAGCTTCTGGAATCAGCCAATGACACTCACCAGACAGTATGCTGCCTCATAGAAGGTTGGAGTCAGAAAAAAGCAGTTGAAATCTTGGTTCCACTGTTAAGTGGCAGAGTGGAAGGAAATATGCCACAGTATTACAGAGAAAGAAGCAGAGACAGTCCCCAACCTTGCCCCCCCCACCCCAAGCACACACCCTGTAGTCATTTCTATTTGGCCACACCTGTAAAAGAACTTAAAAAATGAAAAGTTGTCACTGAGTCAATTCTGACCCCTGTGTACCAGAGTACAACGGTTTCAGAGGGTTTTCAAGGCTGTGATCTGTAAGGCACCTCTGCATAGATTCGAACCACCAACCATTTGGTTAGTGTTTGAGCACTTAAATGTTTGTGCCATCCACCCAGCCATTAGACCCACACAAACCCAATGAGATCTGACCAACAAACGGGACAAACATTCTGAAAAAGGTGGCTGGTGAGGCTTTTACTGATATGGGAGGTTAGGAGCCCCTAGGGTAGAGGTCCAGGCTGTCAAGGAGGAGTTTGGTTGCTAAAGGAGGCTCCAGGGTATCCACACAGAGCAAAGTGAGCTTCATGACCACCCCTACCCCTACCTCCCCACCCCCAGATCACTCACGCCTGCACCGGAGATCAGACACAGGGGTGCTTCTCTCAGCCACAGTTCCCTTCATCTCCTTGGCAGCAGGTGGGTGATTGTGGGCAGGGCCAGGGCCAGGGGCTGGGAGCTTGGCTGCTTTCAGTATTTGCTCATTTTCATTGGCTGGAATGTAGAGGGCAGGGGTCAAAAGTTAGATTTGGGTTAGATCAAGTGCCTTCTGAGCACTGCTCTTCTGAGATGAAAACATCTGGAGCAATTCCTTCAAATCTTGTCACTCCTAAACTCAAAACCTGGCAACGGCTCCTCCCCTCACTTGGCTTAAAAGCCAGAGCCTCAGCACATTGGACATTCTGTGACCTGACTCCTCGCTCTTCTCCAGCCTGTCTTCTCCCCTCTTGCCTGCTCCTCAGCTCCAGTTTCTTCCTGCTATGTGTCAAACACTCTCTTGCCCTGAGTTCTTCTCAGGTGCCACTTACTTCCTCATTTCCTGCAGATTTACACTCAAATGTCAGCTTTGCAAGGATGCTGGCCACCCCTCAATTCATATCTCTCTTCCTAGTTTCATTTTTTCTCCCTAGTACTTACCTACTATATCTAATACACTATGTATTTTACTTAATTAGTTGCCCATTTCCTCCATTGACTTATGAAAGACTCCATTGAAGGACTCCATTCCTTCCTATGAAGGCAAGAATTTTCATTTTGTTTTCCTGTGGTATCAACAGGGGCTAGAAGATGCCTTCCAAATCAAAACCAAACCCACTGCTGTGGAGTCAGATCTGACTCATAGCAACCGCTTCTTGGGTTTCCAAGGCAGTATCACTACGGAAGTAGATTGTCCAACCTTCCTTCCGAGAAGTGGCTGGTGGGTTTGAACCGCCAGCCTTCTGGTTAGCAGTCAAATGCCTTAGGTGCTAAATAAACATCTGTTGAATCAATGAATGAACGAATAAATAGAGAAGCCTCATCCACAGCCAACAAGTTGATTGCGACTCATAGCAACCCTTTAGGACAGAGTAGAATGTCCCTATAGGGTTTCCAAGTCTGTAAATCTTTGTGGAAGCAGACTGCTTCATATTTCTCCTGCAGAGCAGCTTGTGGGTTCAAACTGCTGGCCTTATGGTTAGCAGCTGAATGTTTTAACCACCACGTTACCAGAGCTCCTTAGAGAAGCCAAAACTTCCTTTACTGGAAAGATCCTCAAAGCACCAGTCTGCCCAACTCCCTGCCTTAAAAAAAGTTCACTGCCATTGAGTCGATTCCAACTTATAACAAGTTCCTTTGGGTTTCTGATGCAGTAAATCTTTATGGAAGTAGATTGCCCTATCTTCCTTCTACAGAGTGGCTGGTGAGTTTGAACCACCAACCTTCAGGTTAGCAGTCAAATGCCTTAGGCATTACACTACCAGAGCTCCTTATCTCCTTACCAAAAACCAAACTAAACCCACTGCCATAGAGTCGTATCCAACTCATAGTGACCCTTCTTTGGGTTTCCAAGGTGGTATCACTATGGAAGTAGATTGCCCAACCTTCCTTCCTAGGAGTGGCCTGTGGGTTTGAACCGCCAGTCTTCTAGTTAGCAGGCAAATGCCTTAGGCACTATGCTTCCGGAGCTCCTATCCCCTACCTTAGAACAAGATAATACCTAATCCACAAAAGCAACTTTATTTTTCCCAATTGTAATGACTTCCCTGGACAAAGCTTCTCTCCCTTAATTGTAAATCAGTTCAAGAATTAAGCTAATCTTTAAGTCTAACAGGAGCTCTGGTAGCATAGTGCCTAAGGCACTTGACTGCTAACCAGAATGCTGGCGGTTCAAACTCACCAGCCACTCCTCGGAAGGAAGGTTGGGCAATCTACTTCCGTAGTGATACCACCTGGGAAACCCAAGGAGGGGTTGCACTATGAGTCAGGGCCGACTCCACGGCACACAACAACAGTAAGTCTAGCAATACTTCCTTCTGTTGTAATTCAAGGCTATTTTTTCATGCTCTGACCTCTGGTGGTGATGAAGAAGGTTAATTAGGCCCTGTTTAAACAAGCCCTTCCTCATAAGCACTGCAGAGGCCTGGCTCTACGCAGGAGGTCTAGATTGTGGAAGGACCTGGGCAGCCATCCCAACCAGAAAGAGTTTAGGTAAAAGTGAAGTCAGAGTGGAGAGGTGGGATTGCCCTGTTGGAGGTTTGAGGAAGGGAGTCCGGCTAGTGGGTCATCAGGTAGGTTTTCAAGTGATATTTGGGGGCTCCAAAGAGGACTCACTCTGCTGCAGGCCCAGGAATGACCACTGAGGGTGACTAGGGAAGATTAGGGGCACTGAGCTACTTACCTATGTGCCTACTGAGCAAGTAATTGATAGCTGCAAGGAGGCAGGTCTGTAGGAAGAGGGACACTGCTGCAATTACTAAGCCATGCCAGATCTTCATTCCTCTGTTGAGAAAGCAAAGGGTTAAGGTCAGTCGGAAACAACTCAACAGCAATGGTTAATATCCCTGCACTCAGCCAGAGGCAGACATCTGTCTTGCAATGTGTCTCAGGCCAGGTCCCTTTGCTTCTCTGAGCCATAAGGCTATGGGAGCTAGGGACAGTGGTGTGTGTACACTTGGAGGCCAGCTATCCCAATTAGCTAAATTGGAACCTCAGTTGGAAACGTGGTCCCACAGCCCCACTCCAGCTCTTCCTGGGCCCACTCACTCTGTCAGCATGTTGAGCTTCTCTCTGGGCAGCCTCAGGTCATTTAAGTGGGACTCGGGCTCTTCTGGGGGAAACAGGAAGAGACCTAGAAGGAACCACTCAGAGAGCCTGGTCTCCAACTGGTGCCTCCAGCAGGATCCTCCAGAACACCTGTAGGAAGCAAGACAGCTGATCAAGACTCCTGGGTCCTAAACTTGAATGTCCCTGGGCAAACTCAACTGACTGAGGGCCATTTACTTTCTTCTTCCCAGATTTCAGGTTTTGAATCTGTGAAGTGGTAGTAATAATAATAATAATAATACCTAACAGTCAGTGAGGAGCTCTGGTGGCACTGTGGTTAAAGCATTTGACTGCTAACCAAAAGGTGAGCAGTTTGAAGCCACCAGCCTCTCCTTGGGAGAAAGATATTACAGTCTGCTTCCATAAAGATTTACAACCTTGGAAACCCTATGGGGCAGTTTTACTCTGTCCTATAGAGTCACAATAGGAGCTCTGGTAGCATAGTGCCTAAGGCACTTGACTGCTAACCAGAAGGCTCGCGGTTCAAACCCACCAGCCACTCCTCGGAAGGAAGGTTGGGCAATCCTACTTCCGTAGTGATACTGCCTCGGAAACCCAAGGAGGGATCGCTATGAGTCGGGGCCGACTCGACGGCATATAACAACAACAACATAGAGTCACAATGAGTCGGAATCAATTCAGTGGCAGTGGGTTTTGTTTTTAACAGCCAGTTAGCACTTGAATTCCTTGAGTAATGCAAAAGGTTAATAATGTACTGGGTAGCTACCTAAGAAGTTGGAAGTTCAAGCCCATCGAGAGGCATCTTGGGAGAAAGACCTGGTGATCTACTTGTGGAAACTCAGCCATTGTAAACTCTGTGGAGCACAGTTCTACTCTGACATGAATGGGTCACTAAGAGTCAGAATTAACTCAATGGCAACTGGTCAACTAGTAGTGGGAGCTCACTCTGTACCAACCACAATGCTGAGCCTCTGGAACACCCACCATCTTATCTATTTCACACAGCAATCCTTTTAGTTAAAATTAAAAAAAGTAATAAAAGTTTTTTTATTAAAAGCAATCCTATTAGTTAAAAGTAATTAAAAAACAAAAAAACAATTGTCAGCATTGAAAGGCCCACAGGGCAAATTCAGAGCCTACGTGATTATTTATTTACTGTGTGCTTTAAGGAGGAGCTCTGGTGGCCGAGAGCCTAAGGCATTTGACTGCTAACCAGAAGGCTGGTGGTTCAAACCCACCAGCCACTCCTTGGAAGGAAGGTTGGGCAATCTACTTCCGTAGTGACACTGCCTCGGAAACCCAAGGAAGGGGGTCTGACTCAATGGCAAAAAACTCACTGCTGTCAAGTTGGTTCCAACTCACAGCCACCCCTCCACGTGTTTCGGAAGCAGTATCTCTACGCAAGTAGATTGCCCAATTTTTCTTCCGAGGAGTGGTTGGTAGGTTTGAACTGCCAGCCTTCTGGTTAGCAGTCAAATGCCTCAGGCACTGTGCCACCAAGGCTCCCTTAGATGTCCTAAGATGTGACTAAATGAGCCCTGGAGGTGCAATGGTTAAACACTTGGCTGCTCATCAGAAGGTCAGCAGTTCAAACTCATCAGCCACTCCAAGGGAGAAAGACCTGGTGATCTGCTCCTGTAAAGATTACAGCCTAGAAAACTCTATAAGGCAGTTCAACTCTCTCCTATAGGGTCACTATGAATTAGAATTGACTGCACACAACAACAAGAAGATGGGACAAAAGAGTCCTGGGGGTGTAACAGTTAAGTACTAGGCTTTAACCAAAAGGTTTGTGGTAGTTCAAACCCACTGGACAGCTCAGCGGGAGAAAGACCTAGGAATCTGCTTTTGTAAAGATTATAGGCAAGAAAACCCTATAGAGTTTTTCTACTGTGTCACATAGGGTCAATGTGAGTCAAAATCGACTCCATGACACCTCACAACAGCAAGATAGGATACGTACCCTTCAGTTCCTGACTGATCCTGAAGGCAAGTAGGTTTGCCACCCCTGTGTTTTATAGAATCATTTAAAATTACTACTGTTACACTTGATCAGTGTTTCTCAGTAGTATCTGACATTTGAAACCGTTTTGCACATTGCTGGACATTCAGCATCCTGGGACTCCACCAATGTAACAGGTAAATGTAACAACCAAAATGACCCCCACACATTTCCAAATGACCCTAAGGCGGGCTGTTTTGCCATGCCCCCCCCCCATTTGAACATCACTGTGTTGAGTAAGTATTCCATTATTTTAAAACCAGTATCTTATTTTTGCTCTTTGTATACAAAACTACATTTCCTACACTTTCATCATTTTACTATATCACGAATAGCTTCCTAGCCCCATAACACATAGCAGCTGTGTCAAATGAAAGCACAGAGGTTTAGACTCTGGGCTCTGAAGTCAAACAGACCCAAATATGGATCCCAGTCCAGTCCCCTTCTCTGAATAATTTAACTTCTCGGTGCCTCAGTTTTTGTGTTTGTAAAATGGGGACAATGACACACCTGCCTCACAGAGTAGTGCCTACCCTGCTTGTGTGAATTCAGTGACCTATGCTGCTTGTAAAGCCCTTTATCCAATGTCAGGCCCATGGGAAATACTAAAAAAATATTAGGTATTATCCAACCCAAAAACACTCCACCAAGATGTTGACTAGAGCAGAGCTATCAAAATTTGGGTTGGTCTATTTTAGGAAACTTAGGCATTCATTTTGACTACTGTTTGAGATAAAATCCAGGACAGGATGAGGTATGAAAATTGTGACAGATGTCATTATTTAAGTGGCTAATTGGCTCCTCACCGCAATGAGCAGGTTGTTCCTTGAGGTCTAATTGCAGATTGCTGATCAGACAGTTGGCAAAAACATCTGCTCATTTGCACACACACACCCTAAATGGAGAAATGAGCAATTTAAAGTAATTATGTTGTGAAAAAAGCGCCAGGATCATGTGAGAGTTTGGTACACCTGTTCCATTGTCAAGACAAGGACTTTCCTGCCCTCTTCCACAGAGCTGAATTGTGATACCCGTACCCACACTTGTGCAGTGCCTTGCTGGGCACCTCCAATCACACTTCATCAGACCTCTAAGAGCATTTGTTCTGTTCACTTCAGAACTGGATGGAACTCCCGAACCTGCAAATTTAGGGCTGGATTCCATTTTATTACGTTTCCCTCTTCCACTGATACAGGAGCTGTCTCATGGCCTTTCTAATAGGGCAGCATAACATCAGAGGGGAACAGGAAAAGACACCCCTTTTCCTGCCTGACACTGTATTTTATTTGGATATATTCACTCTAGACTCTACTCAAAACTCAAATTCACTGCCGTCAAGTCAGATCTGAATCATAGCGACCCCTCCTTGGGTTTCCGAGGCAATAACTATGGAAGTAGATTGCTCAACCTTCCTTCTGAGGGGTGGCTGGTGGGTTTGAACCACCAGCCTTCTGGTTAGCAGTCAAATGCCTTAGGAGAGGTTTAAGAGAAGAACACAATAGAAGAGGATTTAGATGAAAATAATATGGATTAAAATAACAGCAATCAATGTTGTTAAACTGCCTTTATCAATCTCTAAATAGGCTTAAAATTTTTGTTTGCCATTAATCTATAGGTAGAAACATAGGCAGACAGACTGAATGATCAGATATGTCTAGGCAAAAGGGAATATACCCATGACCATATATAAGGTTGACAGAGGATTTTTCTATATATGTATTTGTATGTGCTGTAAGAATGTCCATAAAAATAGAACTATCAGGGGACAAAGTTATGATAACTTCTTAGCCACAGATGGAGAGAGTTGTTGGATCTGTGGGCTCAGAACCATGGTCACAGGGGACATCAAGCTCCATCAGCATAACATACTACACAAAAACATTGTCTACATCCTACTTTGGTGAGTAGCAACTAGGGTCTTAAAAGCTTGCAAGAGGCCATCTAGATGCAACTATGGGTCTCTCCTTGTCCAGAGCAAAGAAGAATGAAGAAACCAAAAATTCATGGAAAAAATTAGTCCAAGGAACTAGTGGGCCACACAAACATCAGCCTATGTGACCATGAGACCAGAACTAGATGGTACCTGACTAACCACCATCACTTGGAAAGGGATCAGTATAGGAGATGCTGGATAGAGTGGAGAAAAATGTAGAACAAAACTCAAAATCATAGAGAAAAGACAAGGCTTACTGGTCTGATAGAGCCTGGTAAAACCCCTGAGACTATGGCCCCTAATTACTCTTCAGGCCTGGAATTGAATTTACTCCCATGGCTTCAAGCCAAACAATAGACAGGCATGTAATACCAAAAACCAAACTCACTGCCATCGAGTTGGTTCCAACTCATAGCAACCTTCGCTGGGTTTCCAAGGCAGTTTACAGAAGTAGATTGCCCCATCTTCCTTCCATGGAGCAGCTGGTGAGTTTGAACTGCCAACCGTCTGGTTAGCAATCAAATGCCTTTGGCATTATGCCACCAGAGCTCCTTTAGACAGTCATATAGGGTGAACATTTATACCAGGTAGATACACTCCTTAGAAAATCAACCATGGGTGAACAGAAGGGCAGTATTTGCACAGGGTGATAGCTCAGAGGGCAGTAATGCATAGGAAAGGACACAAGGAAGAGGTAACTACAGGGAGGAAGTGGGAAGAGAGCTGTTACATTGTGGGGATTGCAATCAATGTCATGAAACAAAATGTATATGAACTGCTGTATGGAAAATGAACTTGCTCTGTAAACTTCATCCAAATCACAATAAACATTAAAAGAAAAATTGGTTTGCTGTTTTTTCTTATTTTCTTATATTGAAATTATTAAGTTGAGCTATACTACAGCTGAATGGTATGATGGAAAGAGAACAAAACTGACAGACAGGAGCCTGGCTTCTCCTCCTAGCTCTGCCACTTGCTGACTGTGCGACCTTAGACACACAGAAGTCCTTTCTAGGTCTTGGTAAATTTGGGGGCTCAGCAAAGAACTCTTGAGGCTCATTTTTGTCCTAAGCATTCTGTTCTTAAAAGGCTGGAACAGGAAAAGGGAAGCAAGTTGGATGAAAATGGAAGATTTGAAAAGAAAAAAAAAAATCTTTATTTCCACTTTACAATATCATCCAATCTCCACAGTGT